CGAATATATACAAACTCAGAAGCAATTGGCAGACCTTCTGACGAAGGCACCAGCCCAACCGATATTTGAGAATCTTCGAAATCTGATTGGTCTAAGAAAATGGTCCCCAAAATAATAATGATCGTGATGCTCTTGACATCACTCTCGTTTGCGACCCCGAACATTTCACTTACGACGACTGTCCAACCGAATGTACAACGAAAAACATCAGCTGAATCATTGACGAAAATCCAATCAATTTCCTGAGACGATGCACACCTTCCGACTCATCTTGCACGGAAGAAGCCAATGACAGCACAGCCTGTCTCACAATCAGACCGAATCTACCGCTCATTGGAGGCGAATCGATCTGGCTAGCATTCAAGAAGAAATTTCATCCTGGAAAGAAGCCAAACAACAGCAACCCTGATCAATCGTTGCACATGGCCCTCGCCATCGGCAGTGCGATACTCGCACTTGCGCTGGTCATTGCGATCACAACTCTGTGCATGCTGTTCAATTCCCGAACCAATTATGAGTTCATACCAACGATCCCCAGCGATAGCATGGAAAATGTCGTTGACTTCCCATACCAATCAACTACAATCCCAGCTCAATTAAGATCATAATCGCTTTATTACAGACCCCGGCTTCAAACCTTCCTCGACTTAAACCACCACCCGCTGAAATCTCTAATTCGAACGTTTTTTCTCTTGCTGTGCCTAATAACAAAACCCAGATGTGAACCAAGAATCAGTGAAACCCAAGAAGAAATGTAAACCCCAGCCATACTGGATTTTCGCACTAGAATATCAGAAAAAACACAATATACCCGATATAGAAACCCTCAAAATTGTAACTGACGAACCATGGCGAAAGATGACCGAAGAGGAAAGAAGGCCATACAGAGGGAAAGCCCGACAACAACGCGGCCGAATCGAACCCCAGCCATGTCCTAGGAAGGACTGTCAGCACAACGTGGAAGCACTGAAAATACTCAAAAAGGCTAACGAATCATTACGACAGCAATGCTGGCGATACAAGGAGATAGCAGAAAGAGAAATCCAAATGCTCAAAAGCAAAATACTCGCTCCCGAACAAACCGATGAAGAATTACGGAGACAGCGCTCGGAGGACCTCGTACGTCGACAGGTCCATCGTGAGTTCCAGGTGGATCGCTCGCGACACTGCACATGTGAACAGAAGGATGTATGACTTAGCTTTCCTTCCATTCTCTTTCTTGTAGTAGATGGGTCCGGCGAAATCCACCCCTGTGAAGAGGAACGGTGGAGTGATCTCGACCCGGAACGTCGGTAACGCCGGAGTCGGTTCTGTTGCTGGATTCGCATTGAAGCGTTTGCAGCCTGGGCAATGTCTCAAAGCATCGTAGGCGACCTTCCTTGCTTTCAGGATGAAGAATCGCTCTCGGAGCTTCTGGAGCGTAGCTGCGACTCCCCCCCAATCGCCAGCACTCTCTGCCGTGAACAGAGAGCACTATTAGTTTCGCCCACCCGTCGTTGTTCGGGATTATGATGGGGAACTTTTCGTCGTATGAGTGTGTGTTTGATCTTTCCAAACGTGATCTGCACCTCATCAATCCGTCCGAATCAATGAACGGGTGGAATTGTGCGAGCCCGCTGGATTTCGGGAGATCTTCGCACCTTTGTGAGATTTCCTCTCGGAAGTATCTTTTCTGGATCCGTCTTACGAGGTCTTTCTCGGCTTGAGTGCATTCCGCTGTGTCGAGCTGGAGCGATCGTGTTTCGCTGCTCGAGTGGGAGCGACGTTGTCTCGATTTGATCGACTGAGCGAATGCTTTGAGCCGGTTGCAGAAAGCCTGTGCTCTGATCAGCTTGAACCAAGAAGAAAAGCGGGCTGGATTGAGAAGATCGTCGATAACGTCATTCTCGTCGTAGCGAACTGTGTGTAAACACTGAGAGGGTGTCGCTTTCCGTTCTTCCGCTGTCTCTTCTATGTCGATTTGATTTGGTGGTGGCTTCCAGGTAGGATCGCTGAGCCACATCGGTCCGGAGAGCCATCGGTAACGGCTCTGTGGATTCGCGATGTCTGTGCCCCTCGACAAAATATCCGCTGGATTCTCTTCCGACCTGATGTACCGCCATGCGCTCGGATCCGTCAGTTTCGTGATCTCGCGAACTCTGTTCGCCACGAATGGTCGCCACTTCTCCGGAGGACTGTGGATCCAGGAGACGCATGCCATGTTATCGATCCAGAAGTATTCCTTGGCCACCTTGAGCTTCAAGTATTCTCGGATGTTCGACGTAATTCGAGCTGCCATGAGAGCTCCCATCAGCTCGTAACGATGGATCGACCACTTCTGTTTCGTTGGTGCTACTCGGGCCTTCGCGACAACTAGCCTGGCTTGGGCGAAACCCTTATCGACAGTTCTAAGGTATATTGCCGCGCCGTAGGCTTCGAGCGACGCGTCACAGAATGAATGTAGTTCGAACCTCGCGGTAGAGAAACGTGCGCTGAGCGCTCGCTCGATTCTTATGTCGGTGCTCTGCCGGAGCATGGTGACGAAGTTTCGATACGATTCGATGATTTCCGTCGGTAACGGATCGTCCCAATCGATTTTGAGCTTCCAGAGTGACTGGAAGAGCGTTTTCGCCCTGACGGTGACCGGGGTCAGAATACCCAGCGGGTCGTAGATCTGAGCGAGTCCCTTGAGGAGCTTTCTTTTCGAAGGAGTTCCGCTTGAAAGCTCCGATACGGCCTTCCGCGTGAAGACTCCGAGGCTGTCCGTTGGTTGATGCCACTGGACTCCAAGGAACTTCGCCTCTTCGTCTCCGACTGTGACAGATGTTTTGTCCAGTGGGGATAGCCGGAGGATGCTGTGAGCCACCTCTTCATTCGCCGTGCCCCATTTGCGGAGCGGGAAGTGGGCTTGCTGGAATATTTCGAATAAGAGATTAATTTTGTGCTCCGCGTCGGCTACCGAGTCTGCTTGTATACAGACGTCGTCCATGTACAGGTTTGTCGATATCTCCTCGATGAATTCGGCTTCGGCTGGGAACTGACTCTTGCAGCTTTCGAGGTGGTATCGGACACCTTTGATGTGGAGCCAAGGTGAGCATATCAGGCCAAAATCGAGAACTTTGGCCTGGAACTCCCTGATCGGTGCATTGGAATCTTTGCTGATGCCCAGCGGCCACTTGAATCTCAGAAATGTTC